TGAAATGATGGCGGTTTTGTTTTCTGCTCAAGTCATCATTCTATCCGCTTGTCTGGCATTCGTTCACCGCTTCTTGAGTGTTGTTCAATTCTAACTAAGAATGTTTGTTAAGTATCTGTTCAGTTTGAAAACGGGATTTATATCAAGCTTACTGAAGGCCAAATTTTACAAATTCTGCATATTGCCTGAAAAAGTGATGATATCCAATGCTCAGTTTTTATCCTAAGGTACATATTAGTTTATTTTAAACAGAAGTCATGGAACTAAATGATATCCCTACTTAGTGATCTCTGATTGCAGTTATATTTTAAAACTAACATGTAGTATCTCATGAAAAAGTTCTTGAAAATCGTTTACTGTAAACTTTCATACTGATTGACTTGTACAGATTTGACTGGTTTGAATATAGCTTTCACTTAGAATCGGCATTTTATAATAACAGTTGTTCTGGGCTCTATTGAGAGAGCTTAGATCAGTAAATTTACGCAAGGATGAGTTCAAGATCTTTCTACTCCACACTGACTAGTCAATAGAGAGTAATAAATATTATGTTGTCTAGTCCTAAATACTGACAGGATTTCTGCAGATTGCCTTCAGCCATTTAACATCCACATTGGAAGCACTGGGTTCTTCAATAGATTCATAACCATTTCACTGCACTCTGATGATTATCGATAAAAAAATGATAAGAAATTCCTGATTAGATAACATACAGATCTTGATAAAATAGTAGTAATAATAATAAAACACTATTGTTCCATTGTTTCACTTAATTGGGAAAACTATCTTCTTGATATTTTCACTGGATTGTATCAACTTCATTTCATACCAACTCTTAACAGCTTGAACAGCCGATGTGCATAAATCAGAGGAATGTAGAGGTGTTTTTCTTTTTATGGAATGAAGTATTCATCGTTTATTTCCATGTTTTACTTTCAATTACGAACGAACGTTTGATATATTAACACCCTGGCGAGCGGAGATATTTTTACTTCGACTTGAGGTATAAAGCACCAATATTTTGTTACTCATCTTGAATAATCATGTAGAGTATTGAGTAAGAATATATTGCGGAGAAAACCACAGTTGCATATTACCTAGTTTTACAGTCTTCATCTCAGATTGTGGATTTACATAGGTCTAGACTGCATTTGTACTATAAGTAAGTTTCCTCCTATCGATTTCACTGCTTCTCATCTTCAACCTGATAAACATATAGAAGTATCTTGTCTTCAGAAGTCAGTAGTTTACTGAATGTCCAGAAAATCACTTTAATTTATTCTTTACAAACTTCAGTTATTATTATTATTATTATGGGTTGTAATTTGCTGTTTAATTTGCAAGATGAATATGATTTGTTACTTTGAAGATTCCCCAGTGTTGTTTTTAGTGATCCTTTGATCGAGTCCAATAATGGAGCTTAGTGTAATCCAACGCAAAAGTTTCCTCAGGAGAAGGATTGCTTATTTTGAGCTACACGTTTCATAGTGTTTGTATGCGTTTTCAAACGAAGTAATAGAGCTTCGACTCAAATATTATTATTCACACACTAAACTACTGAGCTAAAAGTTTCTTTTTTTTGTAACCGATGTATTTTGAAATATAGACGGATGGTCATTTTTTCTTATTCACAATCAAAGAGAGGGTAAGAAGGGGTAACAGGACGGATCATAATGAAAAGTCTGCAGAAATTAGGAATTTTGTATTCTGAGTTCCACTGCTTAATATCAACCTACATAGTCGGCATAGACTTAGTTTTATTGACTTTGATGAGATTTCTGTCGGTTAGTCACCTGTAATAAACATACTTTTTTCCATTGCGTTTTCGCACATCAGACTATCTGACCTCATGTACATGAAATAGGCGTAACGTCTTAACAATGAAAACAAGTCATAATTTTCTTTTCAAATTAACCTCACTATTAAACAATTTCAGTGTGATCTTGTTAAACAGAAACATTACCGCATACACAAAACAATCTTGTATTTTTCTGAATAAAATGAACAGTTGATGTTTTGAGTCCTTTTGGAAACTTTCTGACTACCAATCTTATATTGACGAAGGAAACTGCGGTACACATTAAAGCGTGAATATATGTTACATGGCCAGGAAGAATAACCATTTGCTACCAGTCATCTATATGCCTAATTCAAATGATAAGCGGTATTTAGTGTCGATCGCAGTGTATAGGCAAAGAAAACGACATTGGACTACGTTTTTTTCCTTACCTAAAAATCAGTTTAAAAGAATCGTGAGTCCATGAGTACTTTTTCTCAACTAGTGTCATCTCCAGTTAAGGATGTGTTTTTTACGACGTTGCCCTATTTGGAAAAATCTATCGACGCTGCAAATGAGTCAACATGTCGATATGACTACTGCAATACCTTTGAATTCCCGGCAAACATTTCATTTAAACTTAAATATTCAATATTGTTTTCTTTGGAAATTATATCTTCTATGAAAGTTCCCAAAAAATGACTGAATAGTTCTTGAAATGTAACTAATATCTAACATATGTCTTTCACTGGTAAACATGTTTCGTGAACCGAATTCTCAGCATGAATATGATCATATGAATGAATATTGTGCTGATGTGTATTTGTTTGCTTTTTGAAATTAAATCACCATACTAACCAGCTATCAAATCATGTACCTGAACATTTTCTGAGGGTAGCCAGTCACAACATGAATCGTCCAGCTCTATAGTCTAACGTCGTCAGTGAGATAGAATTGATGTTAGCAGATGTCATTTTACTTAGGACTGCAGCTTCTTACAGCTTTTGATAAATGGTAACTGCAGGACCGAAGCCATTTGATACTCATCCTATCAATCAAACCAAAAGTTTGAGTTTTCATAGTCTTTTCTTTGAAGACAGAAAAATGTGCAAATAAAAAAGGAAATGAGAAGGTGATTTTAGCATTTTTATTTCGAGAAATTTAATTTCATATTGATTTTTTAAGCTACGGAGAAGGTAGTTAGTCTCGTTATCATCATTGTGTCGAACCAACATCAGTTTCATACTGACAGGAAGTCTAAAAATCCTCGACAGATTTGCTTTCTTGGTTTAAGGTTGAAAATCACTTGAAATTCTAGACTGTCTAAACACAAACTAAGCTTACAGCTATAGAAAACGTTTGCGCATGCATCACAGATCAATCATTAAGTTGGAAACTGATTTAGACAGACTTTCAACAAAATTAATCGTTTGGTGTACGCTGAGCAACTTCCTGAATAATTAGTATACATCATGATAGTCATTCTCACATAGAAAGCAGTGATGATAATAACTCCAAGTCTTGCATTCCGAGATAATTTTTATCTGGACTGGAAGGGAAGATAATTCAAAAAATATCAATATTTATGACTTCTTCAAGCGTTAATCAATCCCAATCCAACTGTCAGTAATTAATCTCTTCAGCAAGTCTTACAGTAACCATAGCAAACTACTGATTCATGCACACAACTTTCGATCGAAAACAGCCAAACAAATATGGTGGAAAGGAGCTATATTTCGGTTAACATCCACATACTCGAATCATGCAGTTCAATAATAATGTAGGACGAAATTTCTTAGAAAGGAAAAAAAAAGCTAGGAGTTAAGACAGGATCATGAGTAAAATTGGATGGTCCTATTTATAGGTAAATACAGATGCAGTATGCTATTTGTAATGAAATAGTTTCACATGACTTCCTCGGAAGATAAGAGATGCGGACTATACCCTTTTACGATTCCCTCAGAAAATCAATTCTGCATATTTGGCTTTATATTCTACATGAATATCAGCTAATGAGCATCAGATATGCATATTGCTGACTGCTACGATGAATAGCTAACTGAAACCGAAACCACTGTGAACTTTATTTACGATTACGTTCTCACTCACTACTATCCAAGACTTTATCATTCGTGTAGCATAGATAAATTCCCGAAAATCTTTTAATTACATGCGTATATATTCTAACTCGTGATTTTCAGATCTTTACATCTGAGTATGGATCGGTTATGGATTCGGCACACAAACTCAATACTCTAGAATAAATAAAACTCAATACGCTAGATATACAACTAGGGTAATGATACTGCAGTTCTGAACAAGTATGACAGAGATATAGACATTATTCTCTCGCGTCATGTAACCTATTCAGCACGAACTTTGGAGTCTATGTAGATCAGCTTAGATTTTACGGCAGTTGACAAGTTGGTTTTTATTTTTCCAGTACTATTATCATTCTCTATACACTGAGTTGCATTTTTGGAATTAGCAGTAGTTTTTCGTTCAAAAGTGGTCAAATATAACCTGGTAATCGGCATTCAAGTTCTTAGCACAAAAATTATAAACTGATATTATTGAGGTGTGAATCTCTATAGTCTCTATAGCCTACGAACTAACCGAGTACTTTATACTCATAAAGGTTCACGAATTCTCTGAAATGACTCTAAAGGTTTTCTTAACAACCAATGAAACAGCTAGTCAAGATTCCCGGTTTCGGCTGGGGAAATAGTTTTTTGCATAGAGTAAAGAAGCTCGCTTGATCATTTCCTCAGTTTTCGAGGTGGAATTTAAAGTCACTCCTTCTTTACAGTAAATAGAAATGCGAAAATTCTCATACACTATACGACTTAGGAAGAAATACGAAAAGGTGATTAGCACATGTGATGATTTACTAGTTCAGTAAGCAACAAATAAAAACAGTTGAACACATTAGCAGGTCTGTTTACTAGCTGTAGTATTAATTACTTGTTAAATATCTGACAATACCATTCAACCTAGAGTTCACAGGGTACTGAAAAAGATAAGATGGTGACCCATTACCACAATGAGCTCTAAGCATTCAAATGAACGCTACATGATGGATTTATAACCAATTAGAATCGACCAGCTGGTTGGTTCACACACGCACACGCTCTGGAATAAGGATTTTACACTTAGGTACATCACCAACCGTTTATTACAGATCGAGCAAAAATAATATGTTTGTTTTGTTTGTCCCTTTTAGCTGTTTTCAAGGATTTTCTTCGTGAGCTTCCAGAACCGTTATTCACAAGTGCATTGTACCCCATGTTCTACGATGCGATGCAAATAGCCCTACCAGGATTTACGCAAAGTGGTGCTAAACTTGTATTGAATATCCTAGACTGCTTACCCGCAAATAACCAAGTAAGTTTTCGGTTAAAGATGCGTGCACATTTTTGTCAAACGTCAATAAAAATAATCTTTGTATGTCAGCTGACTTTTTCCAGCAATAGATGCATGCAAACAAATTAAAGAATGCACTGGTAAATATACTCTGTGAATACTTAACGTCCAGTTTATTACCTTGATTTCGATAGCTAATAAACTCCTAGTTAACAGATGAAATCCTAGTGCTGATGGTGTTCTTGAATTATATTCATTTATGTGAACAGTTTTGTTGAATGATACGTTTGACGTAAGAATAAACTTGAAGTATTAAAGTATTGAAAATCCGCATCAGGAAAATTAGAGAAAACTATATAAGCATACTAGATTACTATTCACTTGTTCCTTCTTATGCTTTAGACCTCTATGCACACATCAGACGCTAAACTACTCATGAAATTTGTGGGTAAAAAGGATTAACTTTGAATATTTTTCAAATCAGAATGAAGATAGGGAGTGTGGAGTGTGACTAAAGGCTTTACTAGAAATAACAACTCCTGTGAAAACAACTGCAGAAATGTCAGTCACGTGAACCAAGATAAATACCTCAACCTCATTATCTCACACTGACCGATTAGTTGGTTGGGTAAACGATATCTTATTTTTCCATGAATATTAAAAAGTTTCACGAACAGTCCTAGGCTTCTAACACTTCATTACTTGGAGCGACATTCAAAAGTGACGTTCTAGATTTTAGTCAGATAACGAAACCTAATCAACTGGGTTACCATAATAGACAATCGATTTTTTGATGAAACTAAGCCGAAATAAAGGTTTCCGCTGAAGTGCTAATCAAGCATTTTAGCAAGATCAGTGCTAATTGTCTCACCTTTTCAGATTTGATGGATAAGATAAAAACAGAGAATTGTTAACTCTCAGACAGCTTTTGTATTCAATAAAGTATATCAAAAAGTTGCCACATATAAATGTGTTAAAATATACGTATCTGAAAGTGAACAGATGTTGAATAGTGCATTGATAAAAGTGACATAATGCATATAATATTTGTAAGATCCCAGTAGAGTGGTTCGATTTGGCTTTCATATAGTAGTTTGGTGTCAAAATATACTCTTCTGCTTCACTGGGACTTTACATTTATACACTGCCGTCGTAAAAAGTTTACCTAGTTCTCTTCTTATTTCACGTTTATGTATGTAGCTGAATTAGGCTGAATGCCATACACAAGTTAGTTTTTCCTGTATCCAACTCATAGCTCATTCATTTCACAAGGCATAAAATATGCTGAAGGTTAAGAGTTTCTTCGAACTGAAGAACTAGTTACTACCAGTTAAAATATCATCCTTTCAATTATTATTCGCATTAGAATTTCGAAAACAATAAATCGATTCTATTTGCAAATGTATATTTTCGCCGTTGGATTTCAAAATATATCTGAAATATAAGTAGGTACATTATTTTTAATGTCAATTAGTGTTCACTGGATGAATCGGATACTTCAGTTTTCTTTTCAGTGTCACTTCTCACTTCAAAGACAAGCACTCTGAATGTAAACAAAGATTAAGTAGTAATTCTTAGATGCAGACAATGTGAATTCTGTAACTGAGGCCTCAAATCTCATGCATGCCTGCTTTTCTTGCTTTAAGGATTGGAGTTTCCATTTATACTTTTCGCTATCATACTTTTCAAAATAAAGCTGATCACTGAACTTTGTCACTCTTCACCTCATCTACTCTGGTTGGATAATATACAATGGAGTAGACAGTGTATCCAATTTTCTTCTCAAAATTGGTCTGTTCAGTGTAGTTTCTATCGTCTCAAATATTCATCAAAAGCATACAAGCTCCAAATTCTCTCAGAACTGTTTGAAGCGCGATATCGTAAATGACTTTTGGATCTTTTTGAATGTAAAAGTAAAGTGCAGTGACGAATTGAACACTGTTTACTAGGAAGAGACTTATGCTTAGAATACTTATGTTTGTGAATGGCTTGAATTTAATTTTTCAAGGCGATATTCATCACCAAGGGATTTTGATTTAGGAATCACTGAAAGTCTAGAAGGAATGAACAGCTGTTTTGTCAGAATATGGGACTCTCCAGTAGTGTGCACCCATGACCACGCCATAATCTGCTGAGGAGTACCATACCATGACCGAACAGTTATCCAGTACCTCCAGTTTTTAAATGGTTCTTCAAATGATGTCATTACATGATGATTATCACCCTGAAATTATTTAATCTCCATAGACCTCCAAAATGAACTAAATTTATTGTATTCTTCTTACTTTGAATGATTTGCATCACACACTTCTTTTATTTTCTGAGGCTTAATAGTGATTGTTTGAATTTCCAAGAGAATATGAATGTTTTCTATTTCACGATGGGGTAGGAAAATGTATATTCTACTTATCTTCCTTGAATATTTTTTGAATTGAGGACTGTTCAACTAAATATTGTGCTTTTCAGTAAGTCTTGTCCGTCTCTATCCTGAATACACAGTGTTCAAGGGATTGAATTAACCTGAAAGTTAACGTTTTCCAAATTTAGATATCATGTTTGTGTGTAAATAAGGCTATGTACAGTTCAAAGTTTACTAATGGTTTCTTTTCTTCACTACATAATTGTTATATAGGCTACAACTAAATAATGATACAGTTCACTGTACTAAAATGTGTGATACACTGAAGTGGCTAGTATGATAATTCATTCTGTCTACGGAATATATACGTCTTTTGGGTATCTCTTCTGCTAAGTTACAACAAAATGTAAATGAATTTGTCGTTTTACTGTGCTTAGAACTATAGACTCACATTAAAATTTGTCTTAGTTGATAAATTATATCCACTACCGAGAAGTCAAATTAATTTTATCAAGTCTAATATTCATTTGAATAACCTCAATCTACCACTAATGAATCCTCTCACTGTTATAAATGTCAATTGTAATTTTAATTAGTTAAGAGTTGTTGAGCGTGAACTTTGAGTTTTTTGTAGCTGCATTAATTTGGAGCACATATACATTTAAGGCATTTATTATTCAAATATAAGTTTTAGTTTTTTCCCAACCGAATTGCCTCAAAATCAAATTATTTGTTACTAGTTCATATCAAAGAGATTATGTATGCTGAAACTATACTACTTATTCGTTGCTTTTGGGAATGCGTTCACCACATTCTAGAAATTTTTCTCACCATAGTGATACGTTTGTTTTCATCATTTCCGTTGTAAGGCTTAATATGACCCCGTATGGCTATAATGTAGTCGCTGGATTGTTGACATACTGAATGTCACCACCTGGTATATAGCAAGCATACCATAAAGCATCTCCAAATAACTATATATATATATATATATATATATATATATATATGTTACCAAAAGCTACAGTAACCACCGCTTCATAGAGTAACTAATGTCCAGTTTCAAAGTTGAGCTATTCTTTTGTGAATGAAATAAGCATTGAATTTGGAGGTTTGTAGGGATTTAGTCATAGTCGCGCTGAAGTCGGAAATATGGACTACTGGATTCCAATCCAGTGGCTCAGTGATAATGTTCTGGCCATGAAAGCTGAAGGTCCTGGGTTCGTTCCCTGGTGGGGTCGTGGGTGAGAACTAGTCAGCAGCCACCTACTAGAACAAAACATCTATCCGGCACTTCCAGGTTTCTAGCCTTCCTCAAACTTATGTAAGTCCATGATGAATACCAACTTGAAATAAGAATTAGTGTTGCCTGGAAAGCATCCATTGTTTGAGGAAAGTGTATGCATTAATTTCTTTGAGTCTGGTTAAAACAATGTAGCATATCTGATAATTTCCGAATTTTTCTAACGCTGTGACACAGATGAATGTTGCTTTCTTCTGAAGAAGGATTAACTGCTCCTTTCCATAGGCTAAACGTAGTCACCTATTGAACAGGATAACCTTGTGGGTCTTCAGCTACCTAAGGTCTTTCCACTGGTTAGTATATACGATACAGTGTTATGAGAAGTCATATAAGCTTCTTTTGAATCGAATACCACTGTAGGCTGAATAACATCTGCAATCATTATATCAACTTGAAATGTATTTTATACTAATCTCAGTTTTATTACGGCTTATAGTAACTTGCTGCATTATACCAGTGTTTTGATTTCTATCCTTAAATTAGGATGGCCTCGTTATAGTCAGGGGAAATGAATGTAGTTTGTTTATGACCTGGACAGCTTGACTACAGTAATGGTTATAAACATGATGATGGTGAACTTTTCTCTGCTAACACAGACTCTGAGAAAGACAGCAGTTTGACCTGTATCTTTCTTACATCCACTTGCCTCATATTCATCATTCGATGTAAGAATCTCTTCATTCCTTTTCCCAGCCAGTTGTCAATAGTTTTTCTCATAACTTCACTAATAGCTTTGAATCATCACTTGAGTAAAATTTCATTGATTTGCTCACTCTTCTGGTAGCGTTCTGTTATCTTCACCACGTGTTCTCAGAAATCCCACACCATATGGAAACTGTATGAGGATTGGTAGGGTTTTTACAAGCTGACCACCAGCTTACCACGCACAATATGGGACATTTAATAGTTCTTTCCAATGTACTATTAGTAGTGGATTTTAAAGTTATTTTATGCCAGATGCAATATGGTATGCTTTCTCCTCTTCTTCCCCATTCTTCCCTCTTTGACGACTTTAATTTATCCATCTAGTGTTTAGGGCGCATGTTCAAGTCAACTTGACCGTCTTTTGTGCTACTACTTTCACAAGGCTATGTGATATACTGTGAATAGTAAGTCATTAGCAAAGAGGCCGTAGTACTGTAATTTGCATTCATCATTCAAAGTGGAGAGATTAAAAGTTTAAAAGTGACAGAGTGAAATGAAGCTGAAGACATTTATGTAGACAGGTTCATTTTATCTTGTATCGAAGCTAAGCTGAATTTCTTCATTCAACTGTTAAATCAATAGTGCTGGTGTTAAAATCTTACTCAGTATCAATAATCTTTCAAACAAACGCCTTAAAATAGTATGTGAAGACTT